GGACTCCATGAGCTTCAAGGGCTTTTCCAACTAGTGTGATTCTGTTGTGTTGTTGTCTGTCTCCCCTGAGCCAGATGCAGCTGTCATGACCAGAGAGCGTCCACGATGGTCACCACTGGTGACACCAACACTGGAGGTTGTCACTTGGACAGGGTTACAGGAAATAAAGCTGAGGTTGGGGAGCACACTGTCCCAAGGGCCAGCGCTGACAGCTCTCTCACATTGTCCCTGCAGCATCCCCTCCACAGTAATTCACCCCGCTGTGATGCGCCTTGGCCTCCAGTACTCCCAGGGCATCATCAATGGCTCCAATGCCCGTTGCATCGCCCTGCTGGAGGTCTTCAAACAGGTATGTGTATGCTCACCAGGAGCAGGGGCATTGCACCAGGTACAGACCTATCTGTGCTCAGTCATCTTCAGCCTCTTCCTTCTGACCATGCCTGGGCTGGGTCCTGCTGGGATCCTGTTCTAGAGCTGCTGACGCTGCAGATTTGAGTTCCTGGAGCACCCCTGTGCCTCCCCCAGGAGAGCATGTCAAGCTGTGCAGTACACACTCGTGCCCAGACTGCAGCTCCTGGGCAAGGGTGGTTGTGTGCCGTGCCTGGACAGAAGGGGCAGGTGCCCTGAACCCCATACTCTCTTTCTTGTCTCAGCTGATCAGGGATTACTCAACTCCCCCTAACGAGGAGCTGTCGCGGGACCTGGTGGCCAAGCTGAAGCCACACATCAGGTGAGGGCTCCTGGTGCCAGAGCAGAGGGACTGAAGCTCCACTGAGTGTGGTCAATCAGCCACCTCTCTGGATTGGTGAACACCCAAATTTAGGCTGATTTTCCTGGGGCTCTGGGTTCTGCCTCCCTGCCCACCATCCCCAGCCCAGCTACACCCCTCCCTCTTCCTGTCCCCACCCTCCAGGCTGCTCTGGAGCTAAGCCCTTCTCCTCTCTGCAGCTTCCTGAACCAGTGCCGGCCGCTCTCCGCCAGCATGGGCAATGCCATTAAGTTCCTCAAGAAGGAGATTTCGTGCCTGCCCGACACCCTGAGAGAGGAGGAGGTGAGTGGCCTCAGGCGAGCAGCAGGCTCCAGGCTGGAGACACAGCCCTGGCAGAGGCTGAGCAGGGAGAAGTGCTGGAGTGGGTTAGAGGTGGATTTGTCAGTGGTGGGTTTATGGTTGGACTCGGTGCTCTTAAAGGTCTTTTCCAACCAGTGTGATTCTATGATAAGGCCATGCTGTGTGTGTTGTCACTGTCTTTCCCAGGCGAAGGAGAAGCTGCAGGACACTATCGACAAATATCTGCGGGAGAAGATTCTTTTGGCAGCTGAAGCCATTTCGAGGTCTGCCTTTGAGAAGATAAATGACAACGATGTGATCCTGGTGTATGGATGGTAAGAGGAGAGCCAGGGCAGCAGGTGGAAAAAGGAAACAGAGCAGTTGAGTGAACGTGGGGAGCTTTTGAAACAGCAGTTTTCCAAGGATGGGGAAGTCAGCATTGCCCAGGGGTGGCTCTGGGTCCAGCAACTGGAAATCAAACAAGCAGGGAGGGGGCGGTCAGGGGGTGCCAGCCAGAACTTGGAGCTGGTAAGTACAGGCACAAGGGAGAAGTTAATGACGAGCAGGACAGGACAGAACAGTGGATGCATGAGGGTGTCAGGACAGAGCAGAGCATGGCCCTGGGATCAGCACTTGCTGACTGGACGTGGGAGTGTCATCAGCGCTTTATAAAGAGCTCGTTAGGACTCTTGTCCCATCCTGGGAGATGGGCAGGCTGATGAGCTCGTGTCACCAGGTGGTGACAGAGCACTGTCTGCCTGGCAGCTGCCAAGGGGAACATTAAACCATGTCTGTGGAGCGCAGCGGGGGTGTGAGCAGGTGTCCCTGGAGGGCTCTGTCCTGATGATGTGGTTTCCAGTGTCTCCACGCCCCGGGACAGGCTGGATGCTGGCAGCACTGGAGCCCTCGGACTCATTAGCGAAAGGAACAGGAGGGTCTGATCAAGTAGCCTGGGCTGATTAATGTAGTTGTGTGAGTGCCTCGAGCTCAGCCTGTGCCTGACCACCTACCATTTCGACTGACCCAGGCTCCCAGACCCGCAGGCTGTAGTGCTGGGGCAGTGAGCGACGCCTTGACTGGACTGGGAAGTGCCAGAGGGCGAAAGCCGTTGCCATCAGCGAAGCCCGTACCCAGGGCTTGTCCAGGGGATTTTGCTGTTCCTGCTCAGGGCTTGGCACTGTCCTGTGTGCACGTGTCCAGACTTGGGTGTTTCAGGAAACCCAGGTTCACTGCTCTGTCGGTACAGAGCATTGACAGAGCATTCACTGGCGTTTTAAACACTGCAGCAAAGTCAAATGTCAGGAAGAAAAGATATGGGAGCTCATTTTTCATTTTAGGACTGTGTCCCAGAAAGAGGGGGACCACAACATTGGGGAAGGGTTTAGAGGGGAAGGGTGTGAGGAAAAGCTGAAGGCACTTGGGTTGTTCAGCCTGGAGGGAGACTGAGAGGAGATCTCCTGGGGGTCTAGAACTTCCTCCCAAGGGGAAGAGGAGGGGCAGGCGCTGATCTCTTCTCTCTGGCCACCAACGAATGCCAGGAGCAGAGGACATGGCAGGAAGATGTGGCAGGGGAGGGTGAGGTTGGCCATGAGGAAAAGGTTCTTGAGGCAGAGGGTGGTGGAGCACTGGCACAGGCTCCCCAGGGAGGTGCTCATGGCACCAAGCCTGACAAGATTCCAGCAGCATTTGGCCAAGGCCCTCAGGGACATGGTGTGAATGTTGGGCTTGTCCTGTGCAGGGACAGGAGTTGGACTCCATCATCCTGGTGGGTCCCTCCCAGCTCACAACATTCATTGATTCTATGAAAGTAGAGGTGGGAGAAGGAGCCAGAGGCCGCTGTGGCAGAGTCCAGGTGTGATGTGTCTCCTGGGTGATCAGCGGAGGAAGGAGCAGGGGCAGGAGGCCAGAGTGGGCCTGGAGCGTTGGGAGAGGGAAATGTGGAGAGGGTTTGGAGGAGGAGTCCCACCCTGTGGTCGTGGAGAGGTGGAGGTCAGTGCTGCCTCCAGGGAGGGCAGAGACACCACTTTTCCCCAGGGGGGGTTCTCTGTGCGAAGCCGGGGAGGGGGCCCTGGAAGGGACCATAGCAGGAGGGTGTCTGGAAGGGGCAGCACTTTTAACGGCGAGGGTGGGTGTCAGCTCTGCCCAGACTCATCTCGAGGCAGCACTGGCCCATCAGGGTTTCAGTGGGAGCCCAGCTCTCGCCCTGGGTAAGAGAGACATCGCTCTCTTTTGGCTGGGTGTGCCTC